CATAAGGGGACTTTATGGTGTGCTGGAAATAGTGGTTACATAACTGCATAAGTTTGCCGAAACTTATTGAACTGTATACCTTAGAAGGGTAGATTTATTGTATGTAAATTATACCTCAAGAGACTTAATTTTTTTAATTCAAAGATTTATATGATCAATTTTTATATAGTGCAAAATTCAGACAGGTCGGCAAGAAATATGGCAAAAATACAAGTTATTTTATCTTGTTTTGCACTTGAACGTTACTGAGCTTTGTTGCAAGGTCCCACTATATTTTAGAACTCCTCTTCTGAAAGGTCTCCTATGCGTTCATAATTTGCAGCTTGAGCAAAGCTGGCAAGACTAAGGCAGGACACAGCTTACCTTGCCTACAGCAGACTGTTCCTCCACTGGCCATGCTTGGCCCTCGGTTAGTCATTCCTGCACTTAGACTGGCCCTGCTGTGGCTTGAGTTCCCTTGCTCTTTGGAATTTTCCACACATTCCAGCTTCATCAAAGACTGCCCTCTCCTGTTCACTGCCCACAGCTGATGTGACTCCATTAACCTTCTAGAAAAAAAGGAAGAACCTCATTTTCCCTGGGCTGGGAGGGCTCAGTGCCAAGAGACAGCCATCACTCCTTCAAGACCCACGTGTGAAACTCAGAATGTCAGAAGGAGGGCAAGTTGAAACAAATTCCAAGCTTCGGCCGCCCTCCAGCTCAACTCAGTTTATAACTAACTTCACAGGAGAAGTAGGCCATAGCTTCAGCCAAGGTTGAATGGGGATAGCTTCTTTGCTGACGCAAAGATCATGTCTTCATGCCAGAAGGCCCACCCTGTGGACCAGGACAGCACTGAGCCAGCCCTCATGTAACTGCGTGAGCAAGAAAGCCCAGAATAGAAATGTTCTTTGCTGGCTCTGACCGTTCCTCCCACTCATGGCTACAGTGGATGGGTCAGCTGTCAGAAATAACCCTCTAGACTCTAGCTTTGGTAACATAGGCCTTTGTCTTAGTATTTAATAACCCCAACTAGGCTCTCTAGTTAGAAATGACATATTTTTTAATCTGAGAGTCACCAACTAAACCACAGTCACCTACAAACTTAGCCTTTTCATGCTTGTCTTGTTGGCTTTGCCTGTTGTTGAAAAATGCCAGCTCACACTGATGAGAAACTAACACTTTGTGGCTACCTAACAGCTCATTTTGAAATCCTTGGATTGGGAGTTCTGAACATGAAAGAAAAGCTGTTTGACAGGCTAGGGAAGCACTGATAGAAAGCTGCAGTATAGCTTGACCACCTAAACACTTAAAAGCTTGTAAAAAAATGTGACACTGAGAAACTAGAAGACTGCCTTAATCCCACCCTCCCAATCAGAGCCCTTCTGGTAGGCAAGTTTATTTTGGAAATGTCATTCACTGTATTGGTTACATGGTCTGTTCAAGTCTTAGATTAAGCAGACATTAGTTTCAGAATCAACTGCATTTTTTTTTTTTGGTAGAAGAAATGCTGTTTCCTATAATCCTGCATGATGGAGAATGGTTGACAATAAAGTCTGTCTTCCCCTTAGACCTTTCCTACCTTCCAGATGGAACCCCACCCTCACCTTGTAAAGAACAGAAGCAAAGATGTATCAACCTAAATCATTTATTGCGAACTCTGATGTCACACATTCGTAGGCTTGACAATTGACTCAGGAGCATTTGGGACGGGAGGCCAGGAGGCAGGTGGTGGAATGAAAGAACAGCGCGTGCAGACAGGTTGCTGAGGGGCAGACTTCATGCCGTAGCCTGCTGGTGCGCAGTCTAGTCCTTGGCTGGGCTTTCACTGCAGTATCTTCAGACGGTTCGGGATGAGGGACAGGCCGTTGTCCCTGGGGGGCTGCCCTCCCTCTGTGGCGTCCAGGAGCTGCCGCAGGTAACAGGAGGTGCCAAGCAGCATGTGGCCTGTGGCCTGCATGCTGAAGAGGACCCAGCGAAGAGCTTCCCTGGGTGGAATGAGAAGGCACTAGGGTCAAACCACGAAGAAAACCGCTTCCTGTGTCCCCTAAAGGCCTGCTCCCACGTGCTGTCTTCATACTTCTATAAATTACAGAGTGATGTGCAAATGGACCAGACGCTGCCTTCCTTCAGCAAGTGCTCTACGAGGGAACTCACGGTGGTACTTTAATTCAGATGTCCACAACCTCCCTATTGTCATGCAAAATTCAAGCTCATTTAATAAGGCCTCTTGTCAGGAGGGGATGCCTCAGTGGTAGAGTGAGTGCTTAGCATGCATGAGGTCCTAGGTTCAATCTCCAGTACCTCCATTAAAAATAGACCTGTGTATATGTCCATGTATGACTGAAAAATTATGCTGAACACTGGAATTTGACACAACATTGTAAAATGATTATAAATCAATAAAAAATGTAAAAAAAATTAAAAAAAATAGACCTAATTACCTCCCCAACAAAGGAAAAAAACATTAAAAAAATAGTGTTTAAAAAAATAATAAGTCCTTTTATTTTTCTCATCCTGCTTTCAACTGGCCTGATTGACATCACATGACCCTGCCTTTCACCACCTCTGTGCTAGACTCTGAGGCCCTTCTGAGGCGTTTGCAGTCTAGCTAATTTTCAGAGTGCTGGTCATGAAGCTCTCCAGTGTCACAGTGCACTGAGAACGGAACTTGAATCAGACAGGGCTGAGTTTTGATCCAGTCTCATAAGCTGGGTGAACCTTGGCAAACTGCTATAGTTCTGAGCCTCAGCTTCCTCATCTGTAAAATGGGATCATGCCACTGTGGTCGCACGGGGGGTTAGGGAGGCTGAAATAACGTCAGTCGCTTAACCCAGGGCCTGATGTGTAGAAGAGCAGGGAAATGTGGGGTCAAGAATAGCTGGTTGAATGCTTGTCTGTTTAACCGAATTCTTACCCGAATCTGTTTAAAAGAAACGGGTGAGGGTATCTAGTCCTAGGGGGGACCAGGGAGAAGAAAACAAAAGGAAAATAAATCCTTCCCGGCTGATGTTAAAACTTGTCTTCCCTTAATCTTCATTCAATAAATAAACTTGTGACTGAGGTGAAGTGGGGCAGAAAAACAACTAGAAGATTATAAACATCTCTACATGAAAATAATTTAAAAATGTAAAGGCTATGCCTGAGAAGTATAGCTGTTTCTCAAATTAGACTGAGACTTCAAACCAGCTGTCCAGACATAAGTGGGAATGACATTCTGTCACGTGCTACAATATGGATGAAACTTGAAAACATTATCTGAGTGATATAAGCCAGACACTAGAGGGCAAGTGTTGTATGAGTTACCTAGAGCAGGAAAATTAACAGAGACAAAAAGTAGAACAGAGGTTAGCAGGGCTGGGGGGAGGGGGTGTGGAGAGGTTGCATTTAATGGGTACAGAGTTTCAGTTTGGGATGATGAAAAAGTTCTGGAAATGGATGTACAAATGACCATTGCACAACACTGTGAATGTACTTGATGTCACTTAAAAAAAAGTGGTTAAATGGTAAATTTTATGTCATGTGTATTTTACTACAACTAAAGAAAAAAAAAAACTTGCCCTCACCACTAAGTCATCCCACTGATTCCAGTTTGCTATTTTTTTTCTTGATACCAGTGTGTCTACTTTGTTTAGATCTGAGAGTCCCACTTCCCCTAAATGGACTGAGTTTAAAGGCTGAAACTTCTTGCTGTAGATTTTGAAATCTGCAGACTGCTGGGAGCAAGCCCAGATCAAGACGGGGCAGGATATGGTAGAGGAGGAAAACAGAATGAGGTTCAAGTCTGCATCGAGTGTCGTCTGTGGCAAACAGAACCACTCAGCCTCAGGTCGCTCATTTGCAGATTGGGTACACAGAGAATAAACTCAGAAAGCCGAGGTGGTCTGGTATGCCCTAGCCACATACATTCTGGCAGAACTCTGGGGACCCAGAGTAGGACATCTCAGAAGCCCCCTGAGAACAAGGATCATACACATTCTTCCACAATTATTTGAATTACTGCTGTGTGCCAGCATTCATCAAGGTACTGGAGGCAAGAGAAATTCTTGTTCTGACATCTTACTTATCTCTGTATCTTTAATTTACAGCATAGGGCCAGGCACACAGTGAGTGCTCAGTAAATAATAAATGAAGCAATCGGGGAGGAGTAGAATCTGTCAGAAGAAGCTGGCAAGAGGCCGTGCTCTGCTGCTCCCCAGCTTTGCGGCTTTGGACTAGTTGGATGCCTCTGCCTCAGTGTCTACATCCACCTAATGAGGTAAGAATTGTCTAGACCCCACTGGAGCAGCTGGGTTTGGAAACACTACCATAATAATACTTGTCTGATGATTTAGCATATTCGCATGCTTCCTGTGATGCTCAAAAGTAAAATAAAAAGTTTTTTTTAAAGTTCATTAGACAATACAAATGACTATTGTCCATAGATATGCAAATTAATTCTGTTCTATGGAAGGACAATCATTGCAACCCTCCCGCCCTCGTGGAAAAATCCAATTTTGTATTTATAAGTTTATCTCAGCATTCCTTTTTTTAAAATTGAAGTATAGTTGATTTACAGTGTTGTGTATCTCAGAATTCTTGATGGATCTATATGTAGGTGAGGCTTTTTTTTTGGTTTTTATTTTCTTTAATTGAAGTATAGTCAGTTTACAATGTTGTGTTAATTTTTGGTGTACAGCACAGTGATTCAGTTATACTTCATATATCTATATCTACATATCTATATCTAAATCTGTATCCTTTTCATATTCTTTTTTCACTGTAGGCTATTACAAGGTATTGAATATAGTTCCTGTGCAACATAGTAGGACCTTGCTATTTTTCTGTTTTATATATGGTAGTTAGTATCTGTAAATCCCGAACTCCCAATTTATCCCTTCAGTTTCCCCCTTTCCCCTCTTGCTCTGTATGTCTGTGAATCTGTTTTGTAGATAAGTTCATTTGTGAGGGTGGGATTTTGAACTGATTGTAACTTCTATTGGTTCTCTCATTAATTAAGTTCAATAAGCTCTTTGACACATGTTCATTTTTTTAAAGGTTGGTTAGAAGACTATTTAGGAAAACTTACTATTTTAGGTGAAAAAAATTGTTGTTCTAGTGGAAAGTAATGAGTAAAGCTAAACAGATCCAGGTTCCACCAGCAGGAGCACATGTACCCCTTTGGCACACACTTCCATAAACTAAAACACAAATTCAGCTGTAAGGTTCTAGACAAATGCTAACTGTCATGCCTTGTCAGAATGAACACCAGTCCCAGGCCCTGGAGGGGCTGAGGTCCACGTGAGAAGACAGGGCCTCTCCCATTGCCGTGTACCCACCCTGTCCACACCTAATCCCGATTCACTCACTTCATGATGCGCTTGGCCCTGTAGCAGTGCAGATCGTAGGAAAGGGAGTATGTGCCGTAGAAAGTCGCCTTCACGTTCAGGCAACCAATGAAGTCCTGTGGGTTCACCTTGTACAGGTCAAAGGTTACGCGGGCCACATCGATTTTCTTGGCAGGCTTACGGGAGAGGGGAAGTTGGTACCTAGTGCCCTGCATCAGGACAAGCATGTGGTTGGCATCCCTCAAGGCCTTCCCCCAGGCTCCCAGTATTCTCCCCCACAGGTGGAACATCACCTGCTCTGACGGGGGCTGCCATTTCTGCCCCTTATGGAGGACCATGAACATGGTGTCCTCTGCCAGAGATTGGAAATACTCTTCTGTCTCTACAGTTGTGCCGTCTTTCTCCAACACCAGGAAGAAAGGCTTGTCTGCCAGCATCATGGTATCCTGGACCTGGAGAATAAGGTAAGTGATGCTTCTGCCGTCACATGTAACCATGGAGCTGACATGGGGAAGCCCCACATCACCTCAGCTGCCAGGGAAAGAATGAGTTGGGTGGGGTTTCCAGGATGGGACTGGAACCCAGGGCTCTTGCCCTGGGATCACCATCCAAAGACCCTATATTATGGTATCTCTTGGTATCTGGCTTCATGGTTAATGTTCTAGAATAGTGCTGTCCGATAAAAATATAATGGGAGTCACATATGTAATTTATTATGATATAATTCACATGCTATGAAATTTACTCTTTTGAAGTACACAATCCAGTATTTTTTTAGTATATTCACAAAGTTGTGCAACTCCCACTACTATCTAACTTCAAAACATTTTCAATCCAAAGACAAACCCAGGACCCGTTAGCAGTCAGTCCTCATTGCCCAGCCCTTGGCAACCGGTCCTCTCCTGTCTATTTCTATGGGTTTGCCTATTCTGGACATTTCATATAAATGGAATCACACATTATGTGGTCTTTTAATTTTTTTTAATGTGGTCTTTTTAGACTGGCTTCTTTCACTTAGCATGTTTTCAAGGTTCATCTAAGTTGCAGCATGATTGTTTACTTTTTATGGCTGACTAATATTCCACTATGTAGACATACCACATTTTTAATCCATTTTTCAACTGATGGATATATGAATTCTTTCTATTTTTTGAATATAATGAATTATACTGTTATGTACATTCATGTACAAATTTTTGTGTGACACATCTTTTCCATTTTCCTGGTATATACCTAGGAGTGGAATTGCTGAGTCATATAATAACTCTACATTTAACTTTAAGGAACTACCAAACTGTCTTCCAAAGCAGTTGCATGATTTTATAGTCCCACCAGCAACTTGTCCACTTCCTTATGAACACTTGTTATTGTCTTTCACTTTAGCCATTCTAGCAGGATAAAATGTTTTTGATTTGCATTTCCCTAATGATAAATGCTGCTGAGTATCTTTTCATGTGTTGTTAGCCATTTGTACATTCTCTGGAGAAGCATCTACTCAAATTCTTTGCCCATTTTCATTTGGTTTTTTCTTTTTATTGAGTTATGAGAGTACTTTATATATTATTGATACTAGACCCTTATCAGATATGTGATTTGCAAATATTTTATCCCATTCTGTGGGTTATCTTTTCCTTTTTTGTTAGTGACCTTTGATGCACAGTTTTTAATGTTGATAAAGTCTAGTTTTTTTTTTCCTCCTTTGGTTATTTGTGCTTTGGTGCCATAGCTAAGAAACCAAGGTTATGAACACTTATGTTTTCTTCTAAGGGCTTTATAGTTTTAGGTTTTTGATACATTTTGAATTAATTTTATACGTAGTATGAGGGAAGGATCCAACTTCATTCTTTTGCATTTGGATATTCCATTGTCTCAGCACCATTTGTTGAAAAGATTATTCTTTCTCCATTGAATAGTCTTGGCATCTGATCAAAAATCAATTGACCATAGATACATGGGTTTATTTCTGGACTCTCAATTCTTTTTTTTAGTAACTTTATTTATTTATTTTTTATGTCCTTTTTTTATTGAACTAGTCAGTTTACAATGTGTCAATTTCTGGTGTACAGCATAATAACTCAGTCTTACATATACATACATATATTTGTTTTCATATCCTTTTCATTCCAGGTTAGTACAAGATATTGAATATAGTTTCCTGTGCTCTACAGTAGAAACTTGTGTATCCATTTTATATACAGTAGTTAGTATCTGCAAATCTCAAACTCCTAGTTTATCCCTTCCTATCCCCTTCCCCTCCCAGTAATCATAGGTTTGTTTTCTATGTCTATGTGGACTCTCAGTTCTGTTTAGTTGATTTGTTGCTATGATGGGCTGAATGATATCCCCCAAAATTCATACTTTGAAGTCCTAATCCCAATACCTCAGAATGTGACTGTATTTAGAGACAGTGTCTTTAAATAAGTAATTAAGTTAAAATGAGAGCATTAGAGTGGGCCCTAATTCAGTGTGATTTATAAGAAGGAAAGGTGTCCTTACAAGAAGGAAAGATTAGGACCAGCAGACATACACAGAGGGAGGACCATGTGAACATGGAGATGGCCGTCTACTGTCAAGGAGAGAGGCCTCAGAAGAAACCAACCCTGACAGCACCTTGACCTTAGACTTATTGTCTCCTCCAGATTTGAGAGAAAATACATTTCTGTTGTTTAAGCCACCAAACCTGTGGTACTTTGTTATGACAGCCCTAACAAACTAACACAGTGTGTCTGTCCTTATGTCAGTCTTGATTGCTGTAGATTCATAGTCAGTTTTAAAATCAGGAAGGGTGAGTCCTCAACCTTTGCCTTTTTTTCATGATTGTTTTGACTATTCTAGGTCCACTGTATATCTATATAAATTTTAGCATCAGCTTGTCAAAATCTATGAAAAAAGTAGCTGAGATTTTGGTGGGGCTTGCATTGGATCTGTAGATCAAATGGGGAGATATTGTCATCTTAACAATATTAAGGCTTTTAATCTCTGAGCACACTTGTATTTCCATTATTTAGGTCTTTTTTTTTCTTTTTTTGGGGGGTGGTAATTAGATTTATTTATTTATTCATTCATTCATTCATTCATTCATTCATTTAATGGAGTTACTGGAGTTATTAAACCCAGGACCTTGTGCATGCTAAGCACACACACTACCACTGAGCTGTACCCTCCCTGCTTCTTGAGGTGTTCAGTTTAACTTCTTTCCATGATGTTGATTTTCAAAGTATGTCTTACACTTGTGTTAAATTTATTCCTAAGAATTTTATTCTTATTGGTGCTATTTTCAGTGGAATTTTTTTCTTAGTTTCACTTTAAGATTGTTCATTGCCCATTTATAGAAATACAGCCCATTGGAGCTGCCACTAGAAAGGAAACCTTTTCACCATCTGAGCCATGAATTCAATCCCTGCTGAACTCCCAGCTCATGACCTGGAGGCCAGAGGCAGCTGTCAGGGCCAGGGCTCAGCCAGGTTCCCTGTGTTGGGCTGTTGGAGGCAGGTCTGTCCCTACCTTGAGGAGGAGGTCCTCGAGACTGTGAGCCACGATGCCCTTCCGCTCACTCCGGTCAGCACTGCTTACTCTGTAGGGTCGGGCCCTGCGGGCCTCGGGGCTGGGCTTCGGCACCAGCTGCTGGGTCACCACTGAGGTGCTCATGGCCACACATCTGGGGGTGGTTTGGAGCATCAGAATGAGCTATGTGCTGCCTCCCAGCCCTCAGCCCACAGCAGGGTAACTCAATCCCCAAGCCCTCTAGGCTGACTCATCATATTCCTCCCCCCACCACCCACCAAGCCTGCTCTAGATAGTATTCCTCAAACGCCTGCTAGATAGTAAACCTTCGTGGACACATATCAGTCCCCCAGGCATCTTGTTAAAATGTAGATTCTGATTCAGTAGGTCTGGGTGGGGTCTGGGGTTCCATGTCTAATGAGTTTCCACGTCATATTGACACAGCTGCTTCTCAGGCCATGGGAAGCAGCAAGGTGAAAGAATACCATCCCACATTTGCCCAGATTCCACCTTCCTCCCTTGGCCTCATTCTTCTCACTCATAAGGTGAAAGGAAGTGGCAAAGCTGAGGTCAAAGAAGACAGTTTGGAATTCTGAGATACACGATGTTGAACTAAAGGAGTGGAGGGGACCTAGGTTTTGGAGTCAGGCAAACTCAAGTTCGAATCCTGGCTCCTCTACCCATTTGCTAGGTGATTGAGAGCGCCCACCCTGTGCCTCAGTTTCTTCATCTGTTAATTTGATGTAATAATCCCCACTTCCTAAAGTTGTGAGGTTTAAGTGAGAGCAAGAATGAAAGCACTCAGCAGTGTCTACCTCTTTCGACTCAGCGTGTGATATGGGGTGAGGGAGTGGCAGCGGCATTAACAACCCCCCGGGGGCTTGTGGGAAGGGCAGCAGCTCAGGTCCCACTCCAGACCTCCTGAATCAGCATCTGCATTTTAACAAGATGCCCAGGTGACTTACGTGCCCACTGACATTTGAGAAGGCTTGTCCTACAGCTCACGGTGGCTCCCCATCCCTTCCATCCTTGGCTCCTCTCACCTGGAGAGGGACTTAGGGTAGAGGAGGCTGAGGGACTTCATGGCGTATTCCATCCTCGTCAGCTGGACAGTGTTGGGCCTGGGAAGGAAGGAGAAACAGCTCAGTAGGTTGGAACTGGAGGCTTCCCTCTCATCTTTTGACACAGTGCAACCCCACCCCCATCCAGCAAGCCTCCGCTTTGGTCTGCCCTCTCAGATATCCCCCAGCCCTTCTCCACTGTGACCCAGCTCAGCCCCCTCAGCAGCCACTCCTCCCTCCGCGGCACTACTCACTCCATGTTTCTCTGGCCCTGGCACTGGTCACACTGAGCAGGGACCCCAAGTCAGGACTGAAGAGGCCCTGCCTGGCTAGTTCCTGTCCTTGGGGGCAGAGTCCACTTTATGCTGGCAGAAGGCGAGTCACACCACCTCGCACTGCAGGGGACCTTCCCTCCCATAAGCCTGCTCTCTCCAGTGGGTCCTTGAGCAATCGGAACCCCTCCTGAGGCTTCCCACTGACCAAAGGGACTTTGTACCACGATGGAATCATCTTTGTCTGTTCTCTCAAATACCAAAGCTGCTAGCCCCATGTGGTTACTGAGCACTTGAAGTGTGGTTAGTACAGTGGAGGAGCTGGATTTTCTATTTTATTTAGTGTTAACTAATTTAAACTTACACAGCCGTGGTGGCTCAGGGCGGCTGGCAACCTTCCTGGACAGCGCAGCTCTAATCGATACTCCTGGGCTGCCCGCTGCTCCTTCTCTCCTGAGCAGAAAGCCCGAGTTTCACTGCTTTCCGCTGCTCCGAAAGCCTTCTCAGACTGCTCACAGCATTCCCCCTTCATCCTGCTCTTCCTGCTTGCTTGCCAAGTGTGCCTCGGTGTCCGTTTCTGCCCTAGCCCCCCACCTGCCCTTTCCCTGGGCCTCACTCTGAGATGTTCTCCCTTTCCCAGCTGCAGCGCAGAGCAGGGGGTTCAGGGAACGCATGGCACACAGCCCCCTCCCCAATCTTCCCTTCTGACCGTGCAGTAGACTCCCCGGGCCAGCCTGTCTTCAGCCTCACTCCTCACTCCTGATAGCACAACTTGAAAAAGCGCCACCTCACCTGTTCTCCAGGAGCCAGGAAAAACAAAACAAAACAAGCAAGCAAAAAAATCCCCCCTACACACAAAAACTGGCCCAGAATAAAAAACTCCTTACCTCCCCGTCACAGCCTCCTAACCTCCTTCCACTTCTGCCCTGCTCAGCCCAGCCCTCTGTCCATTTTATTTCCAGCTCCCAAGGCAGCCCCTCCCCTGCCTTCAGCCCCAGCTGGAAAAGAGTGTGGGCAGCGAGTGTCCAGCTCTCACCCTTGGGATTTCTAAGCAGCCTAACTTCCAGAAAAAGCCAGAAAGAAGGGGAGGAGGCATGTTTTGAAAGCTTTGGGGCAGGGTATGCCCAGGACGCGTTATTGGGCACAGAGGGCACAGGAAACAGGATTTTGTGGATTGTGGTCCCAGTTCTACCCATGTTAGCTGTTTGAGTGTAGACAAGTTCCCTTAATGTCCTTGAGCCCCAGTTTCTCTCACTTGTGCAACGGGATAATGATTCCTGTGTTAAAGGACTGAGGTAGGATTCATAATAATATAAGTAAAGGGCTTTGTTGGGGAGGGTGTAGCTCAGTGGTAGACAGCTTGCCTAACATGCATGAGGTCCTGAGTTTAATCCCTAGTATCTCCATCAAGATGAGTAAATAAACCTAATTACCTCCCCGCCAAAACAAAACAAAAACAAAAACGAAAGTAAGGAGTTTTGCAACAGAGAAAATAGATAGAAGCAAATATTGGTGATGTTGATAATATAATTATTTAATAATAGCAGAGACCAAGACTAGCTAAAATATGTAACGGTTAAGAGTGTGCAATCTGTGACCCAGCAATTATATGTATACATACTATAATACCTGGAGTTATATATCTCTCTCCAAAGGAAATGAAAATCTATGTCCACACAAAAACCTATACACAAAAAAAGACACAAATTTACAAAACAGAAACAGACTCACAGACGTAGAAAACAAATTTATGGTTACTAGGGGGGAAACAGGGTGGGAAGGGATAAATTGGGAGTTCAAGATTTGCAGATATTAACCACTATATATAAAACAGATAAACAACATGTTTCTGCTGTGTAGCACAGGGAACTCTATTCAATATCTGTAGTAACCTATAATGAAAAAGAATATGAAAACGAATTTATGTACGTATATGGATGATTGAAACATTATGCTGTACACCAGAAATTGACACAACATTGTAAACTGACTATACTTCAATTAAAAAAAAACTTATACATGAATATTCAGGGTGTTATTCATAATAGACAAAATGCAGAAATAACCCAAATGTTCATCAGTTGATGAATGGATAAAAAAATGTGGTTTATCCATAAATGAAATATTATTTGTCAGTAAAAAGGCTATTTTCTCCTACAGTACATGGATGAACTTTGAAAACATTATGCATAGGGAAAGAAGCCAGTCCCAAAAGATCACACACATATCTGTATGATTCCACTTGTATGAAATGTCCAGAACAGGCAAAGACAAAAGCTTAGTTAGTGGTTTAGAGCTGGGGCTGGGGAGTGGAAGGGGAATGGGGACTACTAGTGTGGATTTCTTTTTTTTTTTTTAGTATTTATTTTTGTTTGTTTTGCTTTTGTTTTGAGTGGGAGGTAATTAGGTTTATATTTTTACTTGTTTTAATGGAGGAACTGGGGATTGAACCAGGACTTCATGCATGCTACAATGTGCTCTCCCACTGAGCTATACCTTCCTTTCCCCTGGATTTCTTTTAGGGGAGACAAAAAAATGTTCTTATCTATTAATGTAACCACAGCCTATTTTGGTAATTGCTCCAAATCTATTTGGAGGTTGCACAACCCTTCAAATATACTAAAAACCATTGGATTATATATTTGAATGGGTATGGTATATGAATTATACATCAATAAAGCTGTTTTTTAAAAAAGACTTCCAGCTCATCTTTTTTGGCCCCTAGGGTGTTTCACACTAGTGCATCAGAGTCACATGGAAGGCTGGTTAGAGATCAGATTGCTGGGCTCTAGGCAGAGTTGCTGACTCAGTGTGTCTGGGTGGGGCCTAAGAAAGTGTATTTCTAGCAGGTTTCTAGGTGGTGCTGAAGCTGTGTCTCCTTAGGGACCCCGTTTTGAAAACCAGCAGTCTAGCACGAGCTGTGTGTTGTAACTCATCTAAGCTTCAGATGGAGCTGACAAATGGGGATTAAAAATAACTCCTTTACTGCTGGGTTGTCATGAAGATTAAATGAGAGAAAAATGAAAGGTACTTGCTATTGAGCTTAGTGCATCTCTCAAGCTCAAAAAATAGCTGTAATAATAATAATAATAATTACATCTAAATCCTTCCCTACAGAAGCTCCCAGGCAACCATCATTCATTCACTGAGCAAATACTTATTAGGCACTTTCTGTATGCCAGCCCTCCTAGGGGCTGAGAATACAGCAGAAAACAAGACAGCCTTGTCCCACACTTCAAGGAGCTGACACTCCTGGAGGAGAGGGGAGCTCAGACCTTGCACAAATATGCAAGTAAACAGGATAATTTTAGATAATGATGTTCTGGGAAGAAAACAAAACAAGGTGACATTTTAGCAAATGGCTGGAGAGCTGGATTGGCCCGTGGGCTTACGGAAGGCCTGAGAGGTGAGCCGTCAGCTAAATCCCGGCTGGTGGAAGTCAGTCTTCTGAAGACCAGAGTGTTTTGGTCTGTCTGGGCTGCTGCAGAGAATACCATTGGCTTATACACAATTGACATTTATTTCTCATAGTTCTGGAGTCTGGCAAGTTCAAGATCAAGGTGCTAGTAGCTTTGATGTCTGGTGAGGACCTTCTTCCTAGTTCACAGATGGCCTTCTCTCTGTGTCCTCCCACGGTAAAAGGGCAAGAGAATCTCTATTTTTTTTAAAGAGATAATGTCCATTTGTTTTGGGGTTTTTGTTTGTTTAAGAGGGGAAGGTAATTAAGTTTATTTATAGATTTTTTTAAAATGGAGGTACTGGGGATTGAACCCAGGACTTCATGCATGTTAAGCATGTGCTCTTCCAATGAGCTATACCCTCCCCTCTGGGATTCTCTTTTAGAAAGACAGTAATCCCACCTCCCTAAAATCCCACCTCCAAATACTGGGGATGCGGTTGCAACATATGAATGGGGGTGGGGACACACATTCAGTCTATAGCACTCCTCTTGGGAATGGAAGCCAGCCTTTTGAACTCCTGGGTTGTGTGTGGTTGGAGGGGAAGGGAGGGAGGCATTCAAGGCAAAAGAAACATCATCAAAGGATTCCAGAAGGGAATGAGCAGGGTGAGGAGACAGGAACATAAATCACTAAACTTTAAGGCAGACCAAGAGCCAGAAGGAAAAATACTTCAGGGAGGAAGCTCTGGGGAAAAGTTTGGGGCCCATCCCTTGGACATTCACGCCTCAAACATTTATTGAACATCCAACATGTGCTTAGTGTCTCCTGAGAATCCAGTGGATGACTCAGAAGCATGCTGGCCCTGACGCACACTTGGTGCATCATGGAAATCACACACAGAAAAGACAAAGACAACCACAGGCTAAAGTCAGCGGGTAGCTGTGGGGGTGGTGGATGGCTTCCTCTCTTTGAGGAGCTCACGTTTGAGTCAGGGAGGCAGATGTCTGAGCATGGATCTCAAATTCTGAAATGCATAAAGTCATTTGAGATACCTTGGAGTGGAGAAGGACTCTAGCTATGAGTTAAAACTGAGAAACTATAAAAGAAAAGATTGGGGGAGGGTATAACTCAGTGGTAGAGTGCATGCTTAGCATGCATGAGGTTCAATCCCCAGTACCTCCTTTAAAAATAAAAAGATGATATGTTCAACCACATTTAAACATTCTGCATGTTAAACTTGTAACACAATAGTAAAGCCAAAAGACATACAATAAATAGGAAAAATATTTGGCAACTAATATTATAGACAAGAAGCCCTTTCTGTAACCATGCAGGACTGTATAGGGCCTTCCTGGGACAGATCCCTCCCCCATATCTTCTGCTTTAGTTCCTCCCTGAAGTACCTAAATAATAATATCTGATATATTTTCTGAGTTCTTGCTAAAACCACCACCAAATGGAAGAAATTAAATACTTGATGATCATGAGCACCTACTGGCACCTAAGGATTGATAATATTAAACCCCGTGAACTGCCCTGTTACCATCAGCCAATCAGAGAATTGCCCACAAGCTGATCACAGACCCCGAGACACCCCTCCCTCACCTTGCCTTTAAAAATGCTTTGCTGAAACCCATCGGGGAGTTCGGGTGTTTTAAGCACTAGCTGGTGCCCTACGATAAACGCTGCACTTTCCTTCACTACAGCCCAGTGTCAGTAGATTGGCTTTACTGCATGCCGGCGAGGGGACCCGAGTTGCGTTTGGTAATATCTCCTCTCTCCCTCTCTCTCCTTTCTTTCTCTGCTATCTGTTTATAAATTGAGACCAATGATGTAGTAGAAAAGTGGGGAAGGAATATGAACACAGTTCAGGGAGATGAAATACAAGTGATTCTTAAATATATGAAAGATGCTTCAGTTGTTTCTACCACAATTTTGAAATTTTCTTATGTATTTTTTAAATTGTGGCCAAATGTACATGAGAGTAACCATTTTTAAGCGTACAGTTCAGTGGCATTAAGTGCAGTCACACTGTTGGGCAACCGTCACCACAGTCATCTCTGAACGTTTTTCATCTTCCTTTTCATTTCCGTAGCCATTAAACAACTCCCCATTCCTCCTTTTCCCCAGCCCCTGGCACCACCATTCTGCTTTCTGCCTCTACTGAATTTTTCTTTCATGGCCTTGACAATTTTTAAAAGTGTAGTGTAGTTATCTTGTAGAATGTCTCTCAATTTGAATTTATCTGCTGTCTCTTCATTAATAGATCCAGATTTAGTATTTTGGGCAAGAATGTCACAGAAGTGATACTCTGTGTATCATGAGGCAGGAGAAGTCAGTTTGTCGCACTCGAGGGCAAGTTAACTTTGATTACTTGGTTAAGGGAGTGCGTGCCAGGTTTCTGCACTGTAAGGTTACCGTTTTTCTTTGCAGTGATTCATCCATAAGGAGATAGTTTGAGACTGTGTGGA